GGGGGGGGAGTCTTCGAAAGAGGGCCTAATGAGTGTAATCACTTCGAATCTTAGTGGTCATTACCTGGATTCCTCAACATTTCAATACTAATTTTCAGTCAAAATAAATGAGACAGATCTGACTTTAGCATACTGCACGATGCGTTTATTTTCATTTGGACTGCATTTTGCAATTTGGAACTATAAATTCTGGCTCTTCTAGAAAAACAATCATGTGCATAGGGAAACTAATGGCACATACGTTGTTTTTAAACCGGGCTAGGATTCCTAGTCCCAAATTGCAAAATGTAGTCCATTTGATACCTGATAGCTACTGTAGTGGCCCAGGTCGGGAATCCGTCGACACGGTGCTCGTATCCCGGTAGCATCAGGGGATTTCGTCGCGATATACGTCATACGACTCGGAACACAATGCGAAAGATAATCGTGCGACGTAACGGAGAACAATGAACTTGACAAATCTGAGAGGTTGCCATGAAATCAATGCCCACGCTACGGCTACTCGTCGGGCTTACAATTAGCCGAAACTGACCAGGGCGCGGAGACAGATTGAGGAGACTTATGAGTTAACTTTTGACGGAATGGGCCGGGGGATGGGGTCGGAATTACGTCAATGCATCATGCGTTCGTCGTTAAAATTCCGATGAGGAAACTCACATTGAGCACGCACCGATAAGCTCTCAGAAAAAGTTGGGACACACGCTGACAGTGTGATGGAGTCTGGCAAAATGTGCTTTAAGGTGGAAAATTCAGTTTGAGGACAGTTTCATAGGCGTAGCTAGGTCATTTTGCTGGGGGGGGGGGGCTGGCCCCTCACCACCGGAGGGTCAGGGTCAAAATTTTTGAAATTTTAACTTTATTTGAGCGCATCTCGAGACACTTGTGGCGCTAATCTTCCTCCAATTTCTGCCTAAAAATCACCCAGTTTTATGCATAAGGTTAAAGTACTTTGAAATTGTTGCATTCAAAAGGTTTTTCTATTTATAGGCATCCTCTCACGGGCCACGGCGACAGAGACTTGCCGTTTAAGAAGGTGTTTTTGCACCATCCAGAATTTCTGGGGGGGCCAGATGATACTATTTCCAATTCTGGGAGGGCAGGCCCCATGTGGTTAAGATTAGACAACTTTTTGGCTCTTTATAGAATACGTGCTACTGGCCTAATCACGAGTACTGCTTTGCATCTTTTGTAATATAAGCTCCGAATTTTACCTAATTTGTCTGTAAAATAATTTGCCTGTACCTAAAACGATGCATTTATCTGCGCGCATGATTCTGCACAATCTTACAAAACCGCATTAAAGGCCTGAAAGCCTTACCGGACATTTCATCCAGGATATTTTTTTTTATTTTTCAGTGTCATTATTTGCACCCAATGCATCGGGATATATCTACGAACAGCGAAAAAAAGCTGGAAGATATCAATTCGCAGCAACACACTTCGAGCTTTCAAGAGTCGAAAAAACTACAAAAAAAAACATTCCACCACAGAATCACTCGAAAGCACGAGTCACCGTCACTGCTATTTTTTTCGCAACTTGCAAAGCGCAGGCTTCATTCCGCTTTTTTCAGCAATTTTCTCTACTTTCGACATCGACGTAGTTTGCCAACTAAGCATTTTTAGGATTGCCTTGTGAGTTCGCGCATGGGCTAAGGCATAGGTTCCAAATCCGAAACTAAATCCTCATCGAATATGTAATTGTCAAGTCTGGTCTAGTCTTTATCATTATCTGAATCTACCGCTATGTCTACCTCATAAACAGTGTTCTTTACTCGTGATTCAAGTTACAAGTCTTTTCGTGAGCAGATTTAAGCTCAGTCTCGTGGCCTCTTCGTATTTTGGCATTGCTATAGAGCCCGCGGTGTGTATGCTAATTGTTAATGGATTCTCCTACGCCATAAATCTCTGTGCATTTTGCTCAAACGGTTCGGTGTGCGCCAAATTAATAGCGCGTTACGAAACTGCAGCGGTAAATGCGGGTGCATCGTGATTAGTTATTCGTTTAACTCCGCGAATTACGACTGGACGAAAATCAAACTTCTCATCAAAAAACAAAACAAAACAAAAGAGGTGAGCATTAGCTAAGACATAGTAGCGTCATTACACAAAAAAAACTTGTGGGGAGGGGGGGTGGTGGCAAATGACCCGCGTGACCCCTAACATGATACATGAGTAAAGACATGAGTAAATTGATAGCTTCTTAAATGCACATGGCGACATCTTACTTGCAGTTAATTTAATAACCGTTCATTATAAGAACATGAGTTAGATGAGTAATAATATAAAAAGAAGTATGTAATTACGATACCTAATAGGACCAGTGGCGTGCGGTGGGTTCAGTGACAGGGCAAGCTCTAGCGTTCGCCATCCGGGGGGGGGGGGGGGGGNACCTCCATCCGCTCTTCTGCTTTCCTACTTTGGTGGCTCTGTACGTATTTCTGTCTCCCTCTCTTTCTGTTTTTAATGCAATTTACTTACTGAACGCATTTAATAAATTATATTTGCTAAAATGTAAAACATTTAATAGGTGTAATTTTCTTCTTACTTCAGAAATCTTTGGGCAAGCAGTGCTTGCCTTGCTTATCTGGACCGCACGCCACTGAATAGGACTGTTCAAAAATCAAGTTTTCACCAATTCGATACTTTTTTCTCGTTTTTTACCTAGGCCTTCTGCAACGCAAATGACGCAACTGAAAACACTGTCCTTTCGAGAAATATGACTTTCTTCATACTAGTAAACAAGCGAAACTGAGTTTACTATTCAATTAAGATTAAGTTTTCATTTTATATGTAAAAAAAAAAAAAAATAATCGCGTAAAAATAAAATATGTAGCGAGTAAGTTATTTGATCTATACATTGAGGCAATGCAAGCCTCATAGAGAAATACTTTTTTTGCGATACTAAATAAGAAGCTCTCCTGAAAATTTGAGATCGAGAGAATTTTGGAGATATTCTTACAATTTTGGCCATTAATTGGCAGACATTTAGCAATTAGGAACTACAATTTGCTGCTCATTTAAGAAATGGCACACGTGCTATCAGTTTCCGTGTGACGCATTTTTTTTAAATAAAATTCTTTCAATATTTAATTAAAACCAAATTAAAATAAATAAAATAAAATGATTAAATCAATATACAGTTTAAATTTAAATTAATAATTAGGCAAAAATGAGCCAGAAATTATAGTTCCTTATTGCAAAAAGAAGTTCAATAATTTTTAAGACCTGAACTGACAGTTACTTTCATGGAGGAGGTTTAAAAATCTCGAGGCAAAAAAAATACTCTTGTGGAAAGTATTTCTCCTCCCCTGCCCTTCTCTTCCAGGTTAATATAAGCAAATCTGAAGGAAAACATTTTGGGGAACAGGAAAAAATTCGGTGAAAACTAAAGAATAAGATGCGGAATATCTTGGCGGTTGATCGCGATAACCGCTGACGGTGTGCTGGATCGAGCAAAAAATTTGCAGAAAATAAAAGTAGGTTAAAAGACGATGATGGACACGTCGCGCGGTGGAAGTTTACATTTCATTAAACATTTTATGCTCTCGCCGGTCTTAATTTTTCCCCGTAGAATGTTGTTGTCTCCCCGAGCGGCCCGAGCGTGAGGCACGCAGCTGCGAGGAAAGCTCGATATCTGCGTGAGAAGCAAAATGATACACACAAAATTTGACGCCCTTAAAGGATGCAAACATTTTAAAAAGATAGGAGAAATAAAAAAATAAATGCAAATTTCCTTTGATTAAGAGAAACATTTTTGCACGTATTTAAGAAAATTTCATTCAAATGAGAATTTCTTGAATTCAAATAATTACTGGAGGGAAAAAAAAAAAAAAAAAAAAAAAAAAAAAAAAATGGAAGGCAAATTTAATTTGTGATCTATGACAGAGTTAGGCACACCCCTTCGTGTTCCATACACCCAAACTTGAAAACTCCCTGACACTGATTTTTCCTCCTGTATTATAAAAGTTCGAGTTTTGGAGGGGGACATAAATTAAATTTTCGGTGCAGGCAAAGAAAATAATTAGCAGTTCACTCAAATGCATTATAATGAAATGACTTAACGCCATAGGGTTCAACAGCACGTGAAAGTAAACTTGATTCGTGAAATTCTTCGACTCCTTACTACGCTACCCGCCATTTCGCTCGAGGTTCGTGATAAGTATCCGTTATTGCATAGTCAGTTATTTGAAGGCGTTTTGAGGCCCGCATTTTCCATTACTTTTAAAAGCACGTTGATATTATGACCCAGGGTTTAACTTGCGGCCTCTCTTGCTTATGGTGGTTAAATTTATTGAATTATTTGATAGAAACTTTTAAAATCCGAAAGGCTGGATATTGAAAGTTTCTAATATTTGTAACGTTGATATTTACTCTGCTACACACTGAATACCACTATAAACTATTCGTGATGTGTATCCGTCATTGCATAATCAATTATTCGAAGGCGTTTGAAGGCCCGCATTTTCAATCGATTTTAAAAGCACGTTGATACGCATTTTGGGTCCAAATTATTTTTTTTTAGATTTTAGAGACTTATTTGTTTGTCTGTTTCTCAAAAACGCTATTACAAATATGTCAAGTTATACATTACAAACCCACTAACATGCGATGAACCTAATGTCCCTACCAAACTTCTGAAACTCTTTGCCTCCCTTAATTTAAAAATCTAAATTTTTGTATGTACACCCATCTTCCAAATTCTTCGTAAAGACGTTAACAGCCTAAGATGCTGAATGTCTTTAAATAAATTAACTAACTAACTAACCAACTATTTTAATACATTTATCAAGTAAGTAGGGAAAATAATTAAATCACATAGTAGTAGGTCAAACTAAGATTCAATCCTGAGTTTGCTCATTAATTCCACGTTAATTAGATATTCTTTTAATGTCGCTTTAAAATTTTTTGCATCATAAATTTTCTTTAGATCATCTGGGAGCTTCAAGAAGAGGGTATGCATACCCTCTTGACCTCTTTTTAAAGTGGGGCTACCCTTCATCGCAGCCCTTATATCAGCATTCCTGGTGTTTACTTGGCAGTTGGCATTTGAGTTTCTAGGATCTAATTTATTAATGACAAAATTCATGGTAGATTGAAATATCAAGAGGGATGGCACTGTAAGCAGCCAATCATATGGATTTAATTTGAATACAGTCCTGAAAGCTCTCTTTTGGATTTTGAAAACTCTTTCAATAAGGAGTTTACCACACTGAGTCCAAGAGTTAATACAATAGTCAATTATTGATATAATAAGGGCAGACTCTGGATTATCCGGATTAATTGGTGCCGGGCCCGATCCGGATGAAAAAAAATCCGGATAATAATAGTAAACACAAACACCACCAACCAACACCACAGTATTCTTATTATGTATACACCATGTACATATCAACACGAATTTAAAAGGTTAACGCAAAATTAAACGACTCAATGGTGATTGTGAATGGTAGCCGACAACGATAAATTACAATACAACGATTAAAGTGCGCAATGCGTGAAGTATTCATACAGTCTTGTAGCCGCTAATGTGCGTTTTAGGCTAACTAACCGACTGCACTGCGTTTGGCGTAATGCGAGAAGTATTTATGCAATCTAGTAGGCGCTAATGCGTTCCACGCCGACCTCACTGTTTGGCGCAATGCGTGAAGTATTCCTTGAGCCTTGCAGGCGCCAATATGCCTTTCGACCGCTTCTCCGCGGATCCGCTCACTTATCGGAATGCGTACGTAGTTACATGGTTGCAAAATCGATCCGGATAATCCAGAGTCTACTGTATTGACTGTCTGACTTTTCTTCATTTGTTCCAGAATGAGTGATGAGCAACTACTTCTGATGACTTTACCAGAAAATGACGACGAAGATGAAGAACATAGACGACGAATAAATCCTGCCAGAAAAAAAACTGTTATCAAAGGACGAAGCCCTCGATATGTAAACCAAGGGGCAGCAAACGTAATGAAACAATGGCCATCGCATCATTCTCACATGCACTTTTTGCTGACATTGGCGGCAATTTTGTTCCTTATTTTTTTCTTCCTCCTGTACATCTCATGCTTTCGGAAGAATCCCCTGGGTCCCATTGACGCAGAAAAAAGAAAATGCATTGCAGAAGATTTCAATCGAATTAAGCGGCTGTACAAGAAAGTGTTTGGTGCTCACAAAAAGACTCTTGACGAAGACTGTAAAGATTTTTACGATAGGGAAAGGGCTCTGGTGGAGTTGGAAAATTCTACATCGGAGTCTCAAATCTATTCATTAATTAATGATTGTAATATATTTTACGTTCATAGTGAAAGTATGCCTTTTAGTCATTTAAAAGCTTGCGCAATGGAGTCAGCATTACGCTATGCACCCGATAAGCAATTTTTTTTCATCAGGCTTACAAAGTGTTCACCAAAAGCAGAGCATATGGAGGATGGCGAGACTGACATGAATTCTCTAGTCCATAATTTAACCGCAGTCCTTCGCAATGATTATCCGAACCTAAAAATTGTGACTACTGATGGTTGTAAATATTTTTCAGGGTCACCATTAAAAGACTTGTGGCAGGATAACTCTGAATTAATAAATAAGGCGGCACAAATACTGACAGTGTGGCGATTTGGAGGAACAGTCCTCTCGCTCAATGCTCTAGTCACAAACCGCAAGCTTTTCGAGCAAATAGAAAGTTCGGTAGAAGTTTGCAAATTTTTAATTAGATCACGATTGCAGTGCAATAATTTCGTTCGAGAGTTACTCCTGCAAATGAGAGAAAAGCTGGTTCCAGCTGGCAACTCTAAAAACAAGACTGTTTCACCAAATAATTCCACAAGTACTGAACTCATTAGCGATGTGATAGATAAAAGTCTGGAAAATTTTTGCCACAATCCTGTTGGCTGTACAGGAGTTAGAAGGATAGAGAGATCCAAAATATGTAAGCAAGTGGAGGAGCAGTGTTATCTTCTTGATTTTAAAGGATGGAGACAAGAAAATTTGGATTGGCAAAAATCCATACAATATTTTTGCCCATCTATAACAAGGAGAAGCATGAATTTTACCATTTAACATGATTTTACAGCAAGCATCCTTCACTGATCTCAGAAGTGAAAATCTTCGTGTAGAGAGAAAAACGCCTTCCTAATCTTGTATGTGATTGCATATTAAATTCAACTAGCTTGAGAGCTTGGAAAAAAAGAATTCCTATTTCTCACCAGTATTTTGTACAGACGTTTAAAATAGGTAGGACTTTATGTTAGATTTCTTTTTGACTTTTTTAATTTCTTACAAAGCAATCAAAAGTGTGATATTTTCTTTGTAAATAAACTTTTATTTCTAAACATTTCTATCAAGTGTGTTTGATGAGTCAATTTTTGAAAGACAGAATGTTATCTAAAGAATTTAATCCCCCTGCATCAGATAATGGAGTGTACTTTTAAATAAATCGAGGATGCAAATGCAATAGATACTCAATGGACAAGGAAAGAAATAAATCTTGGCAACTCGGACATGACGCCTCATCAAAATCAGAGTCAACAGGTAAGTGGGAACACCGTAAAAGATTCGGCTGGAGGAGTCTGTACTTCCGGAAATTTAGGACCGGATTGTCTTTTCCACAAGGCCAAAAAAACTCTGATATTCACTGACTCTTTAAAATTCCCTTAAATTGGCAAATACTCCTGACTTATAAAAAAAGGGACGACCTTTATTCTTTACATGATGATCTCGTTCACAAATACATTTTTAAGTTCTATTATTGCACAAGCTCAGATTACCACTTCTATGAGAATTGGCTAAGAACAGAAACCTCAATTTCCTACACTCGATAATAAGTGCTTTACTCTTCCAGCACCAAATCCAAATTATTACACTCAATTCGTGAGGCAGACTATTTTGATAGCATGAACCTTTGTCAAAAGAAATGGAAGAATTTAGTCTCCGGATGATGAGGAAAAAATCAATGTGATAGAAAGAGTAAAATTGATGTCAATACTGTTTATGATTTTCTGAACATACCAACACAGGTTTTTAGATCCAGATGAGATAAAAAATTTATTTGTGCAACATTCTTAAGGAAAAAGATTAACAAAAGATATTTCGACAATTTTCGAGTAGAATATATCAACCTAAGAGCTAGTAACTTTCATAAAATATTGATTACAAAAACACTTTCCTTACAAGCTAGCTACGTTCATAGAATACAGCGAGATTGAGAGGAAATAATGCGCAACAAAAACAAAGACATCCACAAAATCACAATATTACTCATGTTTTTCTGATGCTGAATCAGTGAGTCTTCCTCATATTTTTTCTGAGTAGCATCTCAGATGATTTAGACAAAGAAAAAAAAGTCCGAGAGTGGGGTCATACTTCTGTCCAACGCAAAAACGCCGTAACACAATCCTAAAAATGCTCAATTCTTTCCGACAAAATGTTCTATTACAACCGACAAACATTCATTCTTCATATTTTTAAAATGACTCTGAATCATTGGAATTTCTAATTGAAAAAGTGAGGCATGATAGTGATTATGTTTTCGCAGAGAAGAGTGTGGAGGATAAATGCAAAGCCTGGAATGAAGTTGCGGTGTTTTTGCATTAGATAGTAGCGTAGTTGAAGAATGAAATTAAAGGAGAAAGCCGAAAAGTGAGAATCCGAATCAGAGATTTCCATAAAGAATTAGCCATGTCTTATTTCGTAATGTCCCATATTTACCATTACTATGATCATCTGTAAAATGCAGAGTTCTGGAAATAGGAGTGATGACAATTATTGAAAGAATATGCATACAAATTAGGAAGTATCTTGCTCGAAAATTCAGTTCACTAATCGTCCAAACACTGAGAATTTCAGCTAGAGTCTTCCTTCCTGTATGATACTTCTAAATCTGTTTGTGGGTCGTTTTAAATAAATGAAGGGAAAATATTTAGTGTCCCAATATATAGACAGCATTGAAATGTGCATGACTCACAAGTAGAAGAAACCTTTCAACAAGGTTTCCCCGAGATAAAAAGTTCTGGTTGATTTTGAGTGATACATTTCAATTTGCCTGGGACATTAGAGATGTTAAGTTTGAGCAATATCAACGATTTAAAATGCCTTTGTTGATTAATCAATGACCTTGAAATGGATTCACAAAATTACGCAAATCCTTTCCTGACGATTTCAACATTGTACATGCTGACGGTAAAATGAAAAACTTGGTCTTGCTTAAATCTAGTTAAGCTACGCACAAAATACAAAATTAATTTCTCAGGAGGAAGGAGAAGATGCACATTTGGAAAAAGCTACAATCAAAAATGCAAAAACGAAACACCCTCTCTTGGAAAAATGGCGCAAAGATTATTTTAGTCAAAGAGGCAAAACTAAAAGAAGCATCCGCAGAGAGTGTCACAAAATGCACACCAACCTAACACTGCGACTTGACCCATTTTAATGGGATCAAACATACCTAACATAGAGACTTTTAAGCCCAATTAAAATCCAAGCTTTACATAAAGTGAGGTGCGCACAATAATTCGATTAAGAAAATCCAAATTAGCGACTTCCTGACAACTACTCATCATCAGGCAGCAAATTATTTGCCTCCCCAAAAAATATATCTTCAAATAATGTGATATTCTAAGCGTATAATGTACCTAATCATTCCGTTAAATTTAATTGTTGAACAATCTTGGATACACGTTTGAAGCAACGTGCTGAAACTGGGAAGTAGCACCCTCGAAAAATTGCCATCTTGTTCAGAGAAAATGACTTAAATTTACATTCAAAATTACGCAATTTCTTGCTTGAGTCTTTACCGCTTACTGTGTTTTTGTTTTTTATCTCTTCCACTTCTTCTTTCCTGCAACTTATATGGGATATGTTTAATCAAACAACATTCCTAGGTAATGAAGGGTGTATAAACTCTTTCCAATACTATTAATTATGTGTGCCGATAAGAATGACTGTTTTGAAGTTCCAAGCATCCTTATTCAACTTGACAAAAGTGACTCTGGGAGTAATGAATAGTCGTAGTTGGGCACCCATTATGACTAAACTTAAGACAACCTTGAGCATGAACAAATTAAGCCTCCACACAAACCCAGACATAGTAGTTTAATATGCAAGAGGATAGGGGATCCGATTATTCTAAGATCTTCTGAGAAAAATAAAACGAAAAGAAAGCAAATAAAAAATACCAAAAACGATGAAAAATAGAATGATTGAATGTTTTTATTCACGAATACTTCAACTTTGTTGTTACATAAAAATGAGAAGATCAACTTCTAGTGACTGAGATTTATCACATACATAAAAACAAGGATATTTTTCAAAATATGTACATGAGTCAAAGACATGCGCTTTCTGGCCAAGTCCGAGAAAGGATTTTCGTCAATAAAATTATCTTCAAAGGTGACTGAGAACAAAAAATTGTCGTTAAAAAAAGTTACGCAATAAATTAAAATTAAAATTAACAAGTGAACGTAGAATTGAGGGATGAAAGAACATCAGAATACTTCCATATCCATGTTCGATCTTGCTTTTTTCACATCTTTTTCAATGTCCCTTGGATGCTTGTGTATTGTACAGAGATCCGATATTGGTGTTGGTTTGAAAGAGTTAAAGCTTACAGAAGAGGCGATTTCAACAATGTATGCTACAAAATACAACCTTTTCGGGAGGCTGTTCAATGACTGTATGGGTCAACGAAAAAAAGCTTTATCAATAAAACAAGACAAATGGACATACTTAACAATATAACTGACATACTTTCCACAACTAAATACTTGACCAAAATATGATTAAGTTCGGAAAACAGGGGCTTAAAAAAAGAGCTACTTTAAAAATGATCGAAGTCTACAGGTTGAAACAAGGTACAGAATTACAAGGAGCTTAAAAAAAAATAAAAACGAAGAAAAAAAGTCGAACACTTATCTCAGAAAATAATAGATAATGCTTATCTAAATACATTGATGCTCCTCTTGGCGAAAACGAAATCAAACTTATTCAAATGACAAAAATCAGAAATAAAAAATAAAAAATAAGGAAAGCTTTACTCTCAGAGGAAAGAAATTTAAGAATAAATTAACTGAAAGAAATCATCACATCTATTTGTAAATATTCCAAACAAAACAGGAGCAAACTTAAGAGGAAACGTTTTCAGTTGCATTAAAGCATCAACTGCTTTGGAATATCATTCTGTTTGTTGATTTTCCATCGTCTGAGGATTTCAAGGGATGTTCAACTATTCTGACTTATTGTTCTTTGTCTTTAGAGTCCTTCTTGCCACCTACGGGTAGAGCTGCAGTCAATCTGAAATCAGAAAAATGGTCCAATGTTAGAAACAAAGAGCATCAATATAAGGATAAATTCATACACAAGAGGAAATAGAAAAGTATGCACCTAATCCTACAACTTGCTAAATCTTGTTCATTGGCTGCTAGACAGACTCCTCACAAACGGCAGTTTTGATTGAATCCAACAAATATTCAAGACTTGACAAGAAAATCTACTTTGTTCCACTTTCATGCACATTCAGAGTGATAACTGTCTCAAAAATAATGTGCCACAAAATACATAATATGTTGACGGCATAAGTCCAAAATCACATATCTTGTTTACGGAGTCTAAAAATATCCGCGTCTATGTTATTTTTTGAAAGGAGAACAAATTGACATTACTCTTTGAAGTTTATGCAGAATTTTCTTCGCACAGAGAAGAAAAATCACGGCAGTTTTTTTCAAATCAATTGCCGTTGAGAAGTTTTCTGTTTAAAAAATAAAGTATGACAGGAAGTCTGCAACGTCGCAAACCGAATTATGTGATTACCAACTTACACAGACAATGTCTCATTTAAATTTTAAGAAGAAAACAATAGGACTTATTGAAACGTCTTAAAATCTCTGATATTATTTTATTTTTTTGAAGGAAAAACTGGCCAAAATATCTCATTGATGTTTTCTGTAAATATTGCAGGGCGAGTGGAAAATATTTTAAGGAAAGCTGATGGTTGATTTTCTTGTGAAAAAATTAATGTGAGCAGATATTTTCAACTACCGAATTGGAAATATGCAGTTGAGACTTGAGCCATCAATGTTTAAACTTTAACTGAAACCTCTTACTCGTCAAAAAACCATTGTCTACTTGACACAGATTGGGTGTCAAAAAAAGTTTTGTATGTTTCACTATTGATGAACTTTCCCGAGGCGTTTGTTTTCTGGCAAGTTCGTAAGTTCCAAGTTTTAGAGGAGGAACAAATTGATGTGAAACTAGACAGACACTGACAATATTCTGAATGCTCAGAATTCTTCACCGCAGCTAAGTTAGCCTACATTGATTTTGATCTTTCCACTAACGAGAAGTTTGAATGGACTGATTTGAATGGTAACAACAACGCTAATCCTGCCCTGAAGAGTTGATTCCAAAAGTTTTCAATACATAATCAAGGTATCACTGTACAAAGGTATGAATATTAGTATGATTAAATCATATGAATTTTCTGGCATGCATCTGGGACAAATTAAAATAACTTACGGTCATCATTAATTAAATTCAAAAGCTCAGCATCGCAAGCAGGGGCACAACAAGTAATCATGATTGACATTCATAGCTGATGAATGAAGTGATATGAAGGATGCTTGATAATTGATAAATACACTACAAATCTGCTGATTCAAATAACACACTATAGTAAGGCTATCACACTGAAAAATCCTTGCTAATCTGATTGCGAGGTGTCACAATAACGCAGAAACTGATCAATCAGTTATCCATGACTAGTAGAGCATACTGTCGCTCCTTGGACGTAAGGGCTCAACTCAATTTTGGGATAACCCCTTTTATCCATATAACTCCCTGCTTTTGAGGGCTCAGATGAATTTTGAGATATGCTCTAATGTTAGAGAAATGACAATATGCATGACCATTCAGAGAAAGGGCACACGATGCGTTTGTCACTGCTAAAATTGGGCAGCTTTTGTTGCATTTCTTGGTTGTTCGGAAACTTTTATTTTCATAAGTTTCCCTTCTAAAGTGTTTTCCATTTAATGAGGTAATTTTCCTGGATATTTTTGGGAGGGTTACATGAATTTTTCTTCGAGTGAGAGAACAGCAGAAGTGCAAAATCTTAGCAACACCAAATGGACATAAGCTCTTTCTTCGAATGTTCCTGTGTATTAAACGAATATAACTTTGGATGGAATTCAACCCATAACCTATCATCATTTACCTGCACCAGCAAAGACTTAAAATGAAAGATGGATGAGTATTGGAATATTCCCACAAATAGATACAGGCTTGATGACACTTTTCAAAATTTTGTCAACTAAAGTGGGTACTTTCTAAAGTGCCGGTCATTAATCAAGATTTGGGAGAGCAGAGATTTTGTTATAATTTTTTCCTCCACAATTATTTCCATAAAAAGCAAGATGTTAGCGATACAAGTGAAGCCGAAGTCCATGCTGAACCACTAATTGAAGTGCAAAATATAATAAAAAACCGATAATAATGAGCAGGGTGTTCAAGCAAATGAGGGGTTATGTATGTTCATCTTCTGAGCAGGTGTGCTGATAATCCTTTTCCTGACGCAAAATCATGATAAATAGAAATTTTTCAGAAATCTCGTATCCCATCAACATCAAAGCCCTCATTCAAGTTCTTTCATATATAAAGCGGATGGAAAGAAGCGTATTTTGGCACTGGATGAACTCAACAAAATTCAGACTTGAAGAGGCAATAGAGTTGAGACGACAACTTAGCATTATTTCATTCAAAAGTGGGATTTCAGACAAAGCTGATTAGAGATAAAACCAGTGGCATTATTGTGTTCCTCAGAATATTTCATATAGATATGGAGGGTAAGGTCGTGAAATCTGCGTTCCCACCGAAACTTCAACATTACCGAACGGGGAATGAAAATAGTCTTTTTGAAGAGATGCAACAAGCACCATTAAAAAATGAATGCAAAAGATGACACACCACACCATAAATAGTAGTATGTTAGCATTAGTTTCGTTATTTTAGTTCCTTACTAAGCCTGTGCAGAGCGCCATATTAGGTGTCAGATGACAGGTGTGAATGTTCTATTTCAATTGTCAATTGTTCGGAGTACAAAATGTCTGTTGGAAAATTTCTATTTTAAAGTTTTGAACGCACAGTTTGTCCATTGTCAGTAAATGTTCAATGCACTGATTGTTTAAGTCCCACTGCACAACTGATTTGGTCAATACTGAAACCCAATGTTTTTCTTATATGATAAACCTTGGGAGACAACTATTTGAGTGGAGCTCAGAGCTCATTAGGACTTGTAATGTTAGGTTTTAACATTGACCATTTCAATTAGAGATTCACTGAGCATGAGCGTAAGGAATTTAAATTTTACATGAATCGCTCAATTCTTTGCTTCATAATTTTGTCTTTTGTTCTGTTCTTCAAGGCAGATTGGGATGGTTTTTAAGGGAAGGACTATGCAGCATGCACAGTAGAGGTACGAAGAAATTTCGCATCAGCTAAATTTTGAGATTCTTGGATATGATGTCATCCACCATCTGAGTAAAATGTAGCTTAGTAGAATGAGAAGCTTGTAAAATTGATCTTTCTACGTGCCAAAATCGAGAAAATTGAGTCTGAAAAGTACATTTTCTGGCAATTTAACACTTGTTATTAGACGAAGAAATGGTGCCATTGCAGAGTCAAAGATGTGAGGCCTTTATTGTTGAACTGAGTTGACGTGCTCGTCTTATCTCTCTGGTCGGCGCCAGACAAGAACCTCCATCACCTACATTGTTCTGCTTAAAAACATGTATAAAACTGCCAAAAATGCACTTTGGAAACTCGATTTTCTCAATATTTGCACAAGTCCAGTTCGATTTTAAGGGGTCATCTTGCTAGGGAGATCGGGAGGAACATCATATCAGAGAATCATGAAATTTAGCCATCACCAAATTTCTTAGTATTCTATACGTGGCCGTTTCCGGCTAATCAACATGTGAATAATTTACAAAAAGTCCAAGAATGTCCTCTATTCTACAACCATAGAGTACATAGAGTCGTAATACAAGTGAGAGAGCTGGCGCCACTTTTAAGCATTTTTCAGGTCCCGAATTCCGAGATTCCTGCGCGGCGCCGGGTCCCTTTTTCGATACATAATCGATTGTTTGCGATACACGGGGACCCGGCCATATTCCACACCACCATTTTGGATCGAATATGTATCGATAAAGTGACCCCGCACACCGGGCTCGGAACTTGTCGAGCAGAACATGGCGCCAGCTCTCCCACTTACAATACGACTCTATGTACTCTATGTCTACAACAATACGGGTACTTCATCTTTCACGATTACTTCATCTTTGTGGTGTATGGGATTTTAATTATTGCAAAATCATTGCTACTTTTGGATCCTTCAACATTTCTGACTAAACCTACCTCCTTTTAGACATTATACCTAGAGGTCTTGAAGGTCTTTGCAAAAGAAGTAGTTGGACCTTTGAAAGTGGACATTACTGTGAAAATAAACGTTTTATTTGACATTTAAAATGGAGCATTCACTCTGCACACCGAGTATCAAAGAAATTTTAAGTGATACTAGTCATTCTATTATACTGGGCGTGTGATAAAATATGTAGAACAATGGCAAGGCAGGAAGATATACATGCATTGAAAAGTTAATTTGCTTACTTGGATGTGATTTCAGCAATCTTTGCCTTGGCGATTCCCCAATTTTGATCGATTTGGGTTTTGTTGTTTTCATAAACTTTGGGTAGCGTGAAAAGCGCTATTAGCCCTGTTGAACAAGAACAAATAAATGATAATACTGAATTATTTAGGTATGCAACTGTGATAAGATTGCAGGATAGTAAATAAACAACTTGTGTAAAAACCTAAAACACAGAAAGACTAATAAAAATTTTAGTATTGATTGAATAGGGCTGCTGCACATCTTTTTTCCACTTCCATTTTGGAGAGAACTTAGGAAATAAGAAGATCTGTATTTTGTCATTTTTCATTTAATCAAATTTTAGTGGAGAAAATTACTTTCAAAGTTGCCAAATAACCGACCCCATTTTAAACAGGGGAATATTGCAGCGACAAATATTATGACATCAAAAGAAGAATCAACTGCCTTTTATCCTTTCCTATTGTTAGTTTATTTATTTTCCAGCCGCACTTGTAACGAAAGAATAGGTATCCCAACCATGATGGCAATATCGTTACTGTTTGAAGTAAATATTTGTATTCTTTTTTTTTCTGAGTGAAATCGTTTATTCGCAATGCTAACTGTACGGCTGCCGTGTTACATTGAGCAAACAATGGTTGAAACCATGGGTTGTCATTTAACATGACGTCATAAGCTTCAGGCCAATATGGAACATTCTCTCAATTACTACAAAGCTTTCGACTACTTTCCATCATACAAGAAAGTTGTTGTGAGCTTCTTTAAGCTTGCAAAAGCATATCGAGCGAAAATTTACTTTAGTAACACCTAATTTGAAGGCAATTCTTGAATCATGCAGTAGCCTCACTGTTTGCAAGATGTCCAAGCTTCAAATGATACGAGCCTTGGAAGTAACCATAGAAAAGCAAACCAAGGATCATGAAGTTTGACGCTTAAACCCTTTTGTAAATAAACAGTTAAATGCAAAAGCCAAGAAAAATTGTTTGCCTTAGAGTACATCTTTTACACAAAACATTCTCTTTGCTACAGTTTGATTTTATAATTCACAATCTATTGCTAAATACTGTTCACAAGAATTATGCCTGCTTAACTGAAACTGAATTTTGAGATAAATTTCTTATTTACACTAATTAAATTGAGTAAAAGAACGAAACCAGTCAAATTTGTTCGTATTAGGTGACCTCCTGGAAGATATTATAATTTAATTTTGAAGAGGAAATAGAGGACTATGTCGAATCAGATAAAAATCTCATGATTAATTAACACATTTGACATGGCAGTTGTGTCAAACCTACAACAGAGTTAATAAGACGCTGCCTTGAAGTCTTACAAACGCCAGATGTAAGTACTCAAAAATGCTCTTTCTTCGTACCTTAAGGTCAACTTAAATACCTCCATATAATGAAAGACATGGGACTTAACACTAGAAATAGGATAGACTGAGAGATTACCAAGGATGAATAGGGTGAGGCCGTTGAACCACGCTCCGATGTAAGTAAGCGTCCATAATCCAACAGCGAATTTGATCGAGTCAACCAGATCTTCAACAAGGAATAATTTGCGCAACTTTGAGACTCCAGCATTGATGTGTACAACTGCTGTGTCAGTCAGCTCACGAACTTTCTCTTGGGGTAGAGTGAGGTCATACTCCAAGTATTCTCTGAAACCAAAATAAACATAATGAGCAAATTGAAAAATAATGACAGACCTCCTTACTTTGAAAATCTTGGAACTCAAAAACAGATCCTGACTTCAATTATAGCTGGATGATTACCTAATTCTGGTTTTAAAATACTGCAAATTAACGACTGCTTTTGAAACAGAATGTGTGTTGGTTTTACTTCTTGTTTTTTGATAAAGTTCTTTTATTCTCCACTTGAGTTTTAATTCACTTCTCATGCCACTGCTCGATAAAAATATACAAGGCAGTATTCTCAAAGTATCTGAGATTTTTCCGCCTTTAACTCACAGACAATCGCAGAATTTGAATACACATCACCTACTCTTGTCCACACCTTGTTACCTTTTTTATTTCTACAACACTTTAACGCCTAGATCTTTTGTAATCAAGCCTGACTGACAACTTGAATTATCTTCCTGGAATGAGATTCTGGACTATTGCATTTTTCTTGTTAAAAAGAGAGACTAAAACTTATAGGCAATAAATAGGGCCGTTTTAAAAAGCTTTTTCTATAAAGAATGAGATGGTACGTTTTTAAACTACACAATTAATTTCGGAAGTTCGCTTATGTAAGATTAAGGAGTAAACAAAAATCACCACGAAGAGTCATTGAAAATGATCTCTTGCCTGGGAGGGTTATTTTTTTGATGATGATAGATTTTGAGAAGACATCTTGAGTGATGTCCTGGATTTAGCATATTTAATTTGGCTGAGTTTGAAGGAAAGTAATTGGCATAATGGTCCATCTATATACACCGCCTTAGAGGTTCATGAGAAAAGTTGAGGCTAATAACTTCTATATTGATTAAAAGTCTCTTACTACTGATTTAACAAACAAAAAGGAGCTGAAAAAAGGACCTCATGAGGCCTCTTGAATTCCAAATCCAATAGTGCCTGGCAACTTGGTGCACAGCCAATCAAAGTAAAGAGTCTAGCAAAGTTCGTTCTCGTGAATCTTGGCCAAGATTAGACCTAATTAAGTGCTCTTTGTGTTCGTTGTTGGAGGTATAAGAGAGACACAGAAATAGATATAAGCAGCAGTTGAGCTGAAAACGGTATTCATCAATAAGTGAGAGACATGTGAACTCAGTTGCAAGAGCTCTTTCTTATCTTGAGTGTCACTCCAGGTGCACCAATGATCTATCTTGTTAATTTTCAATTGTATCAAAAGACCTCATTCCCATTATTTATTACACTGTCCACCAATAAATCAAGTACCATTCAAACTCCAAAATTGAAAGAGTCTCTTCAAATTTCAATTAAGGTAGATGATGATGCATACATAAAACAGTCTGCTTGTTGACAAATAGAATATGAGTGTTTATAGTCATTATCAACTGAATAAAAATCAACAAATAGTCCAGTATGTTCCAAATGATAAATACTATGTGTATGAACAGTTATACCTCAATTAGAAATTGATTTCTGCGGCCTGATTGTTGAAATTTTGTGTTTGTAGGATAGACATAGATGACAAGGGTTAAGAGGTGGAGCGTTATTGGTCAGCTATGTCGTATCACTGCTTCATCGTGCCTTTGTCAGGGGGAATGGACGACATACCGTCAGAAACTTAAGAGGTGCCTTTAGCTTGTCGTGAGTTCCACCCAACATAGGCACAACAAAGCAGCGATAAGACATAGCCGACCAATCACGCTCCGCCTTTTAACCCGTGTCATCTATGTCTACTTGACAAACACAAAATTTTACCAATCAGGCTGCTGATCTTAATTATTGTGCGGGTTTATTTAAAAATAAAATAATGTTTGAAACGAAGAGGCAACTTCGAAAATACTCAAAAGCATTCACAGGGGACATTCTAAAAGTTAGTTTGAGCTTATGTTGACTTCTTTCATTAAACGACAGTGTTCCTTATGACACTGTGTGCAAGAACTTACTTCTCTTGTATTTCCCAATTATTTTGATCTGTTGTCGTAATGAACTCTCTTTGACACATGTGGCTTGTAACGAATAGTAAAAAGCCCGAAAAGAGATGGATATTTTCCAACTTCTTTATCAATAAAAAGTCGGGAACAGAGGCTCTTCCTCATCGCTGACTAGATTACAATAGAATCAGAGGCGGATCCAGCGATTTGGCAACACCAAATTCCCTCCATTTCAACCTATGCTAAATAATCGATTCTTGTCGGAGCACCTGGCCCCTCTAAAAATCGATACAATTCCATAGGTTTAAATGGAGGAAATCCGGTGTTGCCAAATTGCTGGATCCGCCAAGATATTCCATTTGAACAGGCTACTCACTTGAATGGATGACCATCTGATGTCTTCTGTACAGCCTGTAAAACTGATTTGTACACTCTGAAGACAATGGAGGCTGAGAGAACTAGGAGTGACAAGTTGGAAACGACTGAGATGAAAGAGAATATGGAAAGAGAAACGAGGATTCCTAGAGATACTCCGAAGGCGACTCCGGATTTGATTGGATCCCGCCAGTAGATTAAAGCTTCCACTGAAACAAAAAAACAAGAGCCATCTGTTAGCATACTTTTCAAATAATAGAAAGTAATAGAAAAAAGAAGAAAAAAACACGGAAAAATCAGATAAAATCTAGTTGGATTGCATTTTGCAAAAAGGAACCAGAAGCATAGCAATGTTGCTAAGATTGTGCAACTTCATCTTCTGCAATTAAATTACTGAAATCATGAAAAAACATGAAATTTACATGGTAATGTTTGCCTTAAATTTACAGCATTCAGCAAGTATAATGGGAACTGTTGATGGATAATCACGTTTCTCTTCCACGACAAAAGAAGTTGCACAATCTTAGCAACATTGCAATGCTCCTGGTTCCTTTTTGCAAAATGCAATCCAGTTGTAGTTAACCCTCTATGGCATGAATTAATTTTGGATTTCAGATTCTAGGGGCACTAATCTTTTTTGTAGCTTGCATAAAAAACATGGAGTACCAAATTTTTTTCAAAATTTTAAATTTAAGGGGACAGTTTTTCAAAAAAAAAAGAAAAAAACTAATGAAAGTTTGCAAAATCACGCCACAGAGGAAAGATTCGACTTTTAAAAACCTAATAGACATTTTGTTCCGAATTCGTCACGCTATGCCATAAAGGGTTAAAGAGATAAGTTGGATGTCATCGGAATCACATACAAGAAAAGAGAGTTCGGTGCTACGAAGGTGTTGCATGACAATTCTACGGAACTTCTCTATGACGATATACAAAAGGGCTCGAAGCTTACCCTTAAATTTGCCCATTCGAGGCCTCTAAGTGCCTTCTGAGTGGAAAACGTGAATTGCATACAGTGCACCTTCGATTCCCGGGGCTATTATGACACCGCGGCACGCAGAAAGGGCTATTTCACGGGCGACGATGCCGAGTCGAGGCAAATTTTCGGATGGATTTTCTTCGATCCATCAAGAACGGATTAAAACAGAATATTTTCGAAAGAAGTGGCAACGCTGCCCTCACTAATCTGCCGTACGTTGTCGCATCATTATTGAAACCATACATTATGGTGAAGCTTCAGGTGCTTGGAATAAAGTGAGCCATTCTTTGAGGAACGGACGTTTGCATTTTGGAATGCTGCTGGACCTGGAATTATGCAATCTTGCCCTTAGTTCGTTTGACGATATAACGACCCTGTGCTGGCATAATTTCGTTCCCTGAAAAAATCTACCGCATTGTAACTCATTTTTCTTTTTCTTTGGACAAAAATGAAACGAGAGAGGAATGGTAGGAGGACGAGAAGCAGCAACAGCAGACGAAGAGAAAGATAAAGAAGAAGAGAGGAGAAATGATTGTCATTTCAGCCAAAGTTGTTGAGGAATTGTTGAGACTTGGAAGGGAAACGGTAGCACTTCTGAAATTCGTAAAATTTGATAAAAAAGACAAACATTTCCCAAACTAAGGTTAAAATTGAAATTTAAGGGAGGTAGAGGTAAGCGCACATCTCTCCTCCTCCCGAAAGAATCAAAGAAACCTGACAGTGTGAAATTGATTCTCCAAGAGTAATTAAACCTCATTGACAAAGCAAGTAAGCAAGCTGATCCGAATAATAATTGCGTGTGGAATATCTATTCTCTTAGAGTTCCTCGCGCAAAGTTTGGTTTCCCGAATAGACAACGCGGCGGACGACTAATAATAGCGGATGGGAAGAGGTCACCCGGTCACTCCCCGCACCCATCCCTCTTACCG